ATAATATAAAATATCCATACTGACAAACCGTCTCCGCTCAGAACTTAAATTTTACATATCAATGTATCATGCTGATACTATTATGATGGTAATCTACAGAGATTGGCATTAATGAGTAAATAATTAAAATTTAACTTATTAGGTAACTAATATCTCATTACATAAGATAGTATCATAATTTATAAATATAATAGTTCATAATATAGTAACAATTTTCAATGGATACATCCTTAATATTTAAGTACTTTTTATAAAACTTTTATATTTTCAAATACCAGAGAACAAAATATTAACACAACATTATAGGTATAAAAGCGATTGGCCATTCATCTCTATATTTCCATCTTAATTTCATGTGAGGGGGAGATTTTTCTTGAGAGTCAACTACTCTCTCCTTGTCTTTTATTGTAAGCTCCTGCTAGGCCTCTAATGTACATGATTTCAAACTTGAAAAAATTTAATTATTTATTTATTTGGTAGGTATGCATTTTTTGTTATCAATTGAAAAATTTCTTTTTTTATTTTAACGAAGATTATTTAATTGGTTTAGCAGTTAATTTTCAACTTGACATAATTAGAAAAAACAACTTACTTTTTTTCTATATTATCTTAATTTGAATGGTTAAAAAATTTAGCTATATGGCTAAATATCTATGTCCTTATCTTAGATCTAATTATACAATGTAGATGTATTATTATCTATTATTATTTGCTTTGATCATCTTATACTACAGTTCGAATGACACCATAGATTCATATTAAATAATTAATTTACTAAACTAATAAAAATAATTTTAATAATATAATTTCTATAACTATTTTAAAAATACACTTCATAATATTTACTGAATTTATTAATAATAATTAAACATTTATTGGATAAATTAGTTCAATAGATCGATCAATTTCTTAAATGAAAAATAACTATTATATTTATATTGAAGTGTTTATTTATGTGTAAGGTAACAAATACTAGCAACTAATAAATTATATATAGAAATTTTTTTTATAGAAATTAACTTCTCAACTTTTTACACCGCTATCTCATGAACATTCATCTAAAAAAAAGTCCTCAAATTCAAAAATACTTAAAACCAGATCCTCAGTTTTCACATTTAAATATAACACAAATAAATTACGGATTCCATCGAAGAAACTGAAACAAAGAAGACCTAAAACTATTAAAAAAACATTATCTACTAACAAAATATTTTGGGAAAATAAAAATGTTATGCGGTCTCAATTAAAAGAAGCTGTTCCACTGTTGCAGTTTACTGCTAAATGTATAGCAAATAATGTTCAGAATAATGAGTTATATTCATGGACAAACAATGAAGAAAATCTATTGCCGAATAAAATAGAATTGATCAAGTATGACATTTTATATTAAATATTATGTAATTTGTAGGTTTTAAGTTTAGTAAGAAATGTTAAAAAAAGGAATTTAATTTAACCCTCAATAAATTAGGTATATATTTCTTATTTATTTAGATTATTGAAAATGTATAATTAGTATCATAGTATATGGGTAGGTGAATTGAATATTATTATTTAGAATACAAGAGGTAATTTTGAATTTTAATTGAATATAAGTAAATTTATAAACCTATTTATTAGATTTGTTATAATATGATATATTGATATTAAGTACTTAATTTACCACTAAAAAATTGTTGCAACTCAGAAAATATTTTTATTTTATTTCCTTCTACTTACCTATTTAGATCTAAAATTAATAATTCTTAATAAGTAAATTATACAGTGTAATATATTATACAGTTGTATAACTGCTAGGTTAAATATAAATATAAATTATACTAAGTTATAGTACAATTTAAGTAGTAGGTATTCAATTCTTATTAGGTGGCACCTTAATATTGTAAAGGTTCAATTGTTACATAAATTAACAAATTTATTTGACAAAATATTTAATTTTACAATCAACTATTTAGTTTTCAATTTTTTTATATTATAATATTACGAAACTATTGGTAGATAACTCTAGTATGTCAGAATTTTAATTTAATTTATATTTTTTTTTTTATTCGTATGGCAATTCAATTTATGTAATATTCTCTAAAGAGGTCACTACCCATACATTTGTTGTCTACGTCTTACACATTTATGCCATAGCAAAATATTATTCTTAAGTTTCAATAGTGTGTTATTAGTTTTGATATTAGAGTTAATTTGCCTATTATCAAACTTTTAGGTAAGAACATTATCTGTGCTTAACTTCATCTTTTATTCAATATTTTAATTTTTAAGAAAGTTATGAGCATTTGTAATTTGTGATATTTCACACACCCATTTCTTACTTGAAAATTGAAATATCGAAAAATTGACAATGCTTAAGCACAGATAATCTTCTCACCTGAACGTTTTATAATAGGTCAATTCACTCGAATATCAAAACCATAGGCGTGTCTACAGGTCATGCCTGTCATGCACAGGCCTCAGGCATGACCTGCAAAATTTGATCCAACTTAGGTAAGTACATTACAAATTGCGGTGCATAATAAAAACTTTTTTTCTAAGTTTCTGATTTTGTATAAGTTTTTTGATTTTCATCACGTAAAAATAAACATTTATAAAAAGTATTATTAGTATTAAAATTATTTTTTTTAAATTACTAAACATAATTTCATATAACCTATCTAGTTATTTATTTATTTGATTAAAAGATTTTTGTTTTTTATTTCTAATAAAAAAGTATAACTGCTTTAAAATAGTTAAAGATGATAAAGCTTATTTAAAAATTTGGGGGTCATATTCCCAAACTTTAATCTAATTTTATTTTTTTTTGGTTGGGGGGAGGGGTACAGCAACCCCTCCCCAGGATATACCACTGTTGGTCACAATCTGTGGATGAGGCCTGGACACGCCTATGATCAAAACTAATAGAACACTATTTAAACTACTGAACAAAAATTTGCTATGATATACGTTTGTAAGACGTAGACAAAAACACATGAGTAGCATCTTAAGACTTAATTTGTAAAAGTTCTAGAGTTAGATATATATATATGTGTTTTTATTATGTATTTAAATTTATGTTTATAATTTTTAGAGATGAACATATTATAAAAAGAGAAGACAATTCATTATTAGAATTTAGTTATATTGAAAATCAATTATATGAAACAAATCATTTTTTTATGAATGATTTTACAGATACAGGTAAAATAATTTTATTTTATTCAAATATATCTCATTTATAAGTACCTTATAGATATTTATAGAATTTTTTTTTCTATCAGATGATTTTGGAGGTACCATAGAGGTTGAAAATATAATAAAAACACTTGACGAAGATGATTTGTCGGTTGATAATGAAACAAATATATTGTGGAAAAATGAATATGATGAGAATCAAGATGAAATACAAGACAAACTTTATATATTGTTTAAAGAATTTAATAATTTTCAAACCATATGATAGTTGAAAGTTTAACTAACTAAACGTGTATGTAATATACACATTTGTAATTTTCTATAGACATATATTTTTAATTTTTAAAAGATAGATTTTATTAGTCAATTCACATCTATATTTACATATTTTATATTGTTTTACTATGTTTGTTATTGGTATTTTAAAAAATTGAGTATTTTTAAAAGGTTTTTAGAACATATTTTATTTATAATTTTAGTCAAAATAAATTACCCACATTTTATTTTATACGTATGTAATCTTAATACCTATAATTTTACATTGAATTTAATTAAAAGTTTTAAGGTTACTACTAACTTATACTTACAAAATCTTTTATTTTTTACTATGTTTTGTTGTGAATTTATTCAAAATTAAAATATTAAAATGTTTACTTATATATTATATTGATTGGTATTTAATAAATTTATATTTGTATAAAAATATTTTAGATTTCTTTGTAAATATTAATATAATACTGATTAGTGACCATAATATAAAATTAAATTTCATTGAAATCTTTGATTAGTCATGGATTGAAGCAGTCATTAAAATTGTATACATCCTAACTTAAATAGTTATAATAGTGGGTTAATTATAAGATATGTTTTGTCTTATGCATTAAGGCCCAAAGTTGATTAATTTGTATTAAGTTCTTAGGTGTTTATCACCTATGTATATAGTACACATTTTACGTTTGTAGGTAAAGCTATATAGTTAGTAAACACACATTTTGTTTAAAACTGATTTAAAAATCTGACGAGTTTAAGCTAGTATATGTCTATGAATAAGTACTGGCAAATTTTTTACACAATTAAATATATTTTAAGCGATTTTAAATCTACACAGGGTTGGTAAAAAGTACTTAAGGTCCATAATACCACAGAATAATAATACCTACAGGCTACCTAAATTACTATCATCGAGTACATCCAGCTGCAATGCAACAATGCAACATAATATAATATAATAAAATTATACTTGACACTTGTGCAGTTATGCCTATTATAAGACTATAATATATTTTTATTTTATGCAGCACTCATCACTATTCCAAGACAATAAATGGAAAAATGGTAAATATTCAAAGGTAGGCATAACATTTTATCATGTAGGTAGGTAAGTACAACAAGCAAAAGCTACTTTAATATTTTTTAAATATCTCTTAGTGATAGTGATTCTGTGGCGATAGTACTGATATCTATGATTTCCATTTATCAATTTTGATAAGCAAACACATGACACGGACTAAGATATACTAGTATATCTTAGTCCGTGACACATGATTGTTTATCTCGATGAAACGGATAATAATAATCACGAATTTCTAGAACACGTCTGGTCACCGGTCAAAAAGAAAATTTCGAAGTTCTGATTGTGGTTTAATGAAAATGGCCCGTCTTTGATTCGTCGATTGCCGCCTGCCGGTTTGTGTAAGTATATAATATACTAATCTGCAAGTTTGTCTTGATTTTGGTTTTTAATTGTATTAACTGTTTACTGTTAAGTACTTGTCTGTATTAAATATTGTTCACTATTTCAGACTCAGTCAATCGCTTTAATTCAAATGGGAGTTTGGTGTCGAGTAAAAAATCTTTTATTTGGCGTGGCTATTGGACGAACAGTAATTGACACGTTTGGTTCTGTGGCCAGAGTTGATGGAATTTCTATGCAACCAACATTCAATCCAAATACCACAGTGGACTTTGTGTTCCTATCGTATATTCCAGTGCGATTTGATTCTATTAAGCGGGGTGATATTATTGTAGCCATATCACCTAGAAATCCAAAAGAAACAATTATTAAGCGTGTAATCGGTGTTGAAGGTGACGTTGTGCTATCAAAAAAGAAGAATAATACTTCAAAGATACGAAACTTTATTCCTAGAGGATATTATTGGATTGAAGGTGATCACAAAGGCCACTCATATGATTCTACAAGTTTTGGTCCAATTTCTAAAGGACTTGTTATTGCTAAGGTTTCAGTTATAATCTGGCCTCCTAGTAGATGGCAATTACTCCAATCTCAAGTTCATAAATAAGGTAATATAATATTTTATGTTTAGATGATTCCTTGTAAAAAATTAGTTACTAATTTATCTAATTTTTATATTTTAATATCATTTTAAAGTGATTGATAATACATTATAGACTAATATTTACTAATTTATTATCTTCAATAGAAGCATTTAGTTATTTTAGCCTTTGATAATAAATATTTTCATTAAATTTCAATATTATTTTCAAGTATATTAAACAAATTGTATTATAACTCAATTTTGAGCCTTTTTCACTGTTGTTCCTATAGTCTTCTTTAATATTTATAAATTTTTTTCATTCAATGCTGAAATTCTATATTTTGATAATAGTCCCAAAGACTATTTTAAAGATAGGGTCAAATAGCACTTATTTTAGTCAAATTGCACCCGAGCAATGTTTACATTGTACTCATTCCAAATGTTTCTTAAAACTTAAAAATATTAAAGCTTGTCAAAGTGTTTATAAATTTAATGCAATCATTATATATTAATATACTATTAAAAATACAATAATATATTTTAAAGGTTGTCAAACATTATTAATATAAAATATTTTATATTTAATATTAAATATAATATACATTATAATACTTATATCAAATTATTTTTAACTAATTAATGTTATATTTTTTTAATTCAAACCATGTGCAAGTTATAGAAAATTTTTTTCTTTGACCGATATAGGATCTACAACGAGATCAAATCTACCATCTCCTACAGTTATACATTAGTTTAGCGGTTGAGCCATAGTAAGGAATTTCAACCTTGATTATCAGTTTCCATTTTTCTTCTGTAATTCATTTATTAAAACGAAACTTAAATTTTGAACTTTGTTTTAAGTCTTTTTCAAACTAAGTACATAAATGTTTTTAGATTATGTTTTAATTTGTATATTATATCAATTGTCATGCAGAACAGTTAATTGCTGGAATTTAAAAAAAAATATTTTTTTTTTAAATTGAATAACACTAAACAACTAACAAATATTTATGAAAACTTGTACGGTGTTTAATGTTTTAGAATATTACGTTTAAACCATATTTTATATAATTGTATTTATTATGATTCAGAGTTAACGATTTCAAGACATCGTTACTTATGAATTCGAAAGGATAATAATTAGCATCCAGTATATATTATGACCACAAATAATGGCTAGAAGAAGATCAAAGCATAATATTTCGAGTTTAAATAGATGTATCTATTTAATTTAATATTAATTTTTTAGTTTTGAAAGGTTGTAATCTCAAAATATTGTTAACATTTTAAACATAATGGTACTTTTCATATATACCTCTATAGTTATAATATAATATTATTTGTGTTTAATATTGCTACAAATAATTTGTGGTTAAAAAACACTAAGCATTATATTATATCTAATTAAACAAACAGGGTTATGGTAGTTTGATATATAAAATATTTGATACTTTTAGAATTAATTGAAATTTATGTTTTTATATTAAAACTATAAATACATTATTCATTTTTTATGTTATTTATTTAGTAAGACTAAACTGTATTATTATATTAGTTACAAGTTGTAAAACTTTGAATTATATTTGAAGAATACTGTTGTGATTATAGAGAAGGTATACAATTGTATTATAAATAGAAGTAGAGAACATATGAGAAATTCACAATGTTAAAAAAAATTGTTTAATTATTGTATATTTATGAAGTCTGAGCTTAAATATTTAAATAATTAAGTTATCATAATTTTTAATTTATGTTCATTTGTGTATAAAAGTCCCGGTTACCCCTTAAATTTGTTGATTATAAACCATAATATTATTATCATTAAACTAAACATTTTTTAATAAATAATAAATTGAAGTATTCTGTATTTTATAATTTAGATCAAATATGTGGTAGATGTTGGAATAATGGGCTCCTTGTAAGAATGTTAAGGCTGCAGTGCACTGTCTGTTATCTCTCTTTAGTCCACGCTCAACGTAGAAAATTTGTATTCAGCCTTCTAATATTAGCTTTAGTATTAGATTGAATTAGCCTAATGTATAACTTGACGGTAAGAACATTATATTTGGATTTTTTTTATGACATTTCAATTTGTATACATGTCATGGGTACTTATGACTTCAGAGTTTGTAAAATATTACAATTTAAAAATGCATATATCTTGCCACAAAATTTGTCAAAAGTACAAAATTAAGCAAATTATTGTATGGTTAAAAGTTTGTACAATTTTCCATTTTTAAAGCAAAGGTTTGAAAATATAATTGAGGGTTCCTCATAAATTCTTAAGGCAACACTTTTCATTAATACATATAAGTTGAAAAAATTGGATATTCAAACTAAATATAACAATTTTTTTTTAACGATTTATTGTAATTCAGAAAATAAAATTCATTGAGCCTTGAAATTTTTATATATTTTCTATAACAATATAACATAATTATACTACAATTTTAGTATAATATGATTATTTCCTATGCACAATGACATTTTCAAAGTATAGACTAATTTTAAACTTATTATATCATGAATACATGGTTAATTCTACCTAGAGTTTAACCCCTCTTGAAACTAATAAAACTATAGTTGGTACTTATAAAAAAATTTAAACCAAAAGAACATTATATCAATGAAATGGTTTTATTAATTTTAAGTTTAAAGGTTTATTATCAAAATAAAAATAATTAAAAATAGTAGTAAACATTTTAGTAATTTATACTATGAAATAATAAAAAATGATAACAATATTATATTCAACTGAGTGTTTCAATTAGTGATGATAAATGGCCACCAACGTTTTGCATCTTATTGTAAAATTTGTCTAATTATTATAAATTTAATAGAAAAATAATATCTTAATTTACAGTACTTATCTAGATGTGTATGTAAACTATAATATATTATATGATTACCTATGTATTATTTTCCTGTTTAAATAGGTAGGTAAGAAAAAAATATTTTTAATTGCACTTACCTATGCCAATGTCAATTGGTCTGACAAGTCGCTGAAATTGCATCACTAAATCGAAAAAGTGTAGTATAGTGGATTGTATTAAATTTGAATATTCAATAATATAATATCATTGTATACGAAAAACGATTCTGAGCGGAGAAAGTATGTCAGTCTGGATATTTTATATTGTTATTATTTATTATAGCCTGTAAGTTGAATTAATATTATAAATTACAACAAAATAATTAATCATTTTTATTATTTATTTTTTATTTGTTTCTATGGTGATAAGCAAAGCTCTAAAAATTAAAACGCTGTTTTTAGAGGTTTTTCGTAATTTGTCGGTGGTGTTTCCAGTGGCATTAAATATTTATTGAGAAAATCGAAAAATGACCTCTCTAAAATACCATCTTGATCCAATTTGCTAAAAGATAAGATTGCATAATATGTTGAAATCAAAGAACTCTTTCTAGTAGACATTTTGTATAAAAAAAAAAACACCATTGTAAAACCACTAGCATCCTTGCTCCCCTCAGAATCTAAAATAAGAATAATGAGACTAGAATATATATATATATATGAATAAATACTAATTATTTAAAAAATAATTTCATGCATCCGCCAGCTCAAGGCATGTTCCAATACATTAGGCTACCGGGATCTTTCTGGTATCCTGGTTGGCCAGGCCGTTCCTGGTCAGCTTTAGGAATGCGCAGGCTCTATTCCTATCCTTAGAGGTGAGCTGTAGCCATTATTTTCAATCACATATTTACGTATCTAATATTGGAACAATTCAACAATGTAAATATGTTATAATATAATATATTAATATCTGTATTATAATTTACTGTTACTTATTAGATTTTTTTTTAACACTGCATAATATTATACAGTCCATTGTGAAAAACAGACTTATTGACTGGCGGCCCAGACTGTTTGAGTGAATCGACCCAAAATATGGTCTGTTTAATGCACATAGTTTTATACTGTTTGGGCATTTGTGATTATTCCACCAAAACTACTGTTTTGGAAAATAATAAAATAATATACAGGTTTGCAGATAAACTAATTTTGATGTATTGTATAGTAATGTACATAGTCATAATATTAAAAAAAATTAATTAATACAATAAAATCATATAAAATACACATAATTAATAATTTGCACTCAAACTTAAAAATTTTATAGTAATAATGTAGGTTATATAGTAGCTAATGTTTAAGACAGTCGAAAACTAAAACAATAAAATCACTTGTGTCGTAGCCAATATCACTAACAAACATGAAATAAATATATATAGTAAATGTAGTAAACAATTTTATTTATAATATATGAGTGTCTGTTCACATATTCAAAATCATAAAATTAAATAAAATTAAACATTTTTGGTACCATTTTACATAAAAAATATATTATAGGATGGTACATTACTACATAATTTTAGATTCTGAGTGGAACGATGGATGTATTGATTTTACAATGATGTGTGTTTATTTATTTATTTTTTTATTTTTTTTGTATCTGTGTACACGATAAGTAGTCGAAATAATGCTTCGATTTTCGACTTCAGTATCTTTTTCGATTGGAAAGTGAATATCGTTGGTGCATTGAGGAGGTCAAAATTTAAAATTCCCAGTACTTTTCAAAAGCGCCAAGAAAAACAAAAGAAAAATTAAGGAAAAACGGGAATTTTTACGCAAAATCGATTTTTCAGAAAATTGAATTTGGTTTTTGGGGTAACTTTAAAACAAATGACCGTAGGTACATGCAATTTTCACTGGTTGTTTATATTTGCATCTTCTATACACGATAACATTTTCAAAATATTTTGATTTATTTTGAACAGTTTAGGGACATTTTCATTTTTCGTCATTTTTTAGTTTTTTTTCTAGAAATATCAATAAAATTTTATTTGTTGGTTGCGAAAGCTTGAAAATTTAATAGAAGGCTCCTAATATATTGTTTCAAAGGCAGATGAAAAATATTAAAAATCCTTAGTCACAATTTTTTTTTAAAAGCATTTAAAGTTCAAAAATTGACAAAATATGGAAAAATCACGAAAATTAGCAAATTATTTTGAGTTAAGAATTCGTAAAAATTTTTCTTTTTAAATCTAAGATTTGAAAATCTAATACAAGATTACTCATAAGATTGTCTACCTTTATCAATTATCAATAAAAAAATCTCTACCGGAAAGTCAAATTAAATTTTTATGAGCGTTTGAAATTCAAATTTTTACAACATTGGATATTCACTCGATTTCTCATGTGGCAATTTCCTTTTTTTGTTGTTATTAAAAAACGAATTACTGTAGATACATGAAAATTTCACTGAATGTTTATTTTAGCATTTCCTATACACCATACAATTTTGAAAATATTTTGACTCTTTTTGAGCCGTTTACGGACATTTTCAGTTTTCAATTTTTTTAGTTTTTTTTTCTATAAATATCAATTAAGTTTTATCTGTTGGGCCAAAAAGTGTAAAAATTTAATACAAGGCTCCTGATATATTGTTACAATATCAGTTGAAAAATATTAAAAATACATAGGCACAATTTTTTTTTATAAGCATTTTAACATCGAATTTTGACAGAATTTTTCAAAATCTCGAAAATTATTAATCATCGTAATTAATAAATTATAAAATGTTCAGTTTTTATAGCTAAGGATTGAAAATTTAAAACAAGATTCTACGTAAGTAGTTAATTCTCTTACCGAAAAATCTAAAAAAAAAATATACAATCACAGTTTATTTTTATAGTCATTTTATGTTCAAATTTGGACGAAATTACATATTAAAAAACCTAGTTATTTTGTTGTGATTATATAATATTATTCGTGGGTACCTACTTGAAACTTCTAAAGTGTACTCTATTATATATCTATGATAGTATCAGGGTTTGTTATTGATGTTGATGAATAGCGTGTTATAAGTACCTAATGGATATTGTGATAATGTGATATGATTAATTTGGAATTTATTATTTAGGTCAATTTTTTTTTAATACCATAGATATGTATATAATTTGTCTTAAACCTAGACTGACATACCGTCTTCGCTCAGAATCGTTTTTCTTATACAATGATAAAATATCATTGAATTCAAATTTAATAGCATCCATTATACAGTGACCCACTTGTAACCTACTGTACAGCAGAGCGACATCCACTTACCCACCTTTTTTTTAATTTACCCTAACATAATTTGTACTAATTGTTTTATGATTTCAAACTTAATAATTAAAAATATTATACAAACTTAATGTATAAGAATTAAAAAACAGACTTTTCTAACTAAGTATAATAGTAACAATTCAACCAGTCAATAACAATTATTATAACTATTTTTTCAATGTATAAGCAGTAATAGTCGGGTTGTTCAATTCATAAGTGCACATCCTTTAAGGGGATTTGATACCGTGATTTTCTGTTATTGTCTAACACACGCTCGACATAGTATTTTAGACGTAGTTTTTGCCAAACATACCAATTTATCTAATGAAGCGATAAGAATTCTGAAAACAGATTTGAATCTGTCGTCAAGTTTACTTGAAATCGACTTTTCCATATTTTTGAAATTATCCCTCAAATTCTTAAAAATATCATATTCAAAAAGTGCATTTAAAAAATCTGGTATTTCAATTTTTTGAGAAGTTAAAATCAAAAAATCAAAAATGTGGGAAAGTCGATTTCAAGTAGACTTGATGACAAATTGAAATCTATTTTCAGAAATCTTATCTCTTCAATAGATCAATTGGAATGTTTGGCAAAAAACACATCTAAAATAATATGTCGCTCGTGTGTTAGACAAAAACAGAAAATCACGTTATCGAATCCCCTTAAATTCAGTTCCTTCTACAGCAACGTTTTTGGTTAAATTTGTATTGACGTAATCCATCTAATCCAATGTAATCCCCAAACTTTCTTACTTTGCCCGGATTGCATATCCCACACACTTTTGGTATGGAATTTTTAAATATTCCATATTTATCAAAATAGGCAAATACTCCACAATCAGCTCGATAAAAATCTAACAGATTTAACCATTCTTCTTTAGTTATTATCACTGATACACTCTGCTCTGTTGCGACAAAATTAGGTGTTGGCTCAAATAACAATTCATTGTGATCTTGGCAAAGGAGGGATTTGTTATTAATCATTATGGGCTTGAGTTTTTCACGAGGGTTGGCAACAAATTGTTGCCAAGATATAATAAAGTCCTTGGGAATGCAAAAATATGGAACATTTTCTACCGTGTGATAAGGTCTTAAATTATCACATACTAAAGGACCTAAATATTTGTTCTGTACAGCACCACTCATAAAATTTATCATTCTCGGATTGAATACATTTTTATAATATGCCTTACACCGTCTACATGGTTTGGTGTTTTTAGCAAAAAGTTCAACTTTGGGAAAGTAAAGTTGAAATATAGTTTTCACTTCTCGGGGAACTAATACCATTGTCTCTTCAGCTATACATAAGTTACCATGTGGACATGTTATATCTTCGTTCAATGTCCATGGCACATTTTCTGTATTTTCTATATCAAAAATACTGTCTATAAAATTATCAACGTTGACATTCAAATGGAGCATTATGCGAGTGCGTTCAATTTCTAAATTTTCAAAGTAATTATTCATAATATTATCTTTAAATTTGTACAAACTAATATTATAATCAGGTTCAAATAATGTACTGTCTGTGCTGTCATCTGTTTCAATATTATTCTCTTCTATACCTACATTGACAAGGGTATCATCTAAAATTTCTATTAACGATTTACAAGTGGTAACTAATAATTCTTTGTTTATTGGCAATGTTACTTTAGGAAGTATTTTGTGAAGTTTTAGAAAATTTTCAAACTTCTTCATATATTTTACCCTCCAACATTGAGACGATAGTATTCCTAACCAAAAAGTTTGTTCATTATTTTTGTCATCTATATTATCATTTAAGGAGTCAAATTGTTGAATCTCGGATATTAATTGTTTATGTCCTTTGGTTAATTTGTCCACGCATAATAAGGCAGATCTATTTCTAACACATAAATCACATAATGACGAATTTAACTTAAGTCTTGGACCCCCTTGATACAAATCATACAGTTTATCAGCAAGTTTTGTTCCAATGTATTTGGTTAAGTGTAATGTATTAGGATTCAATTTTTTATGCGGACATACAATGGATGTGTTGTTTATTTTAAAAACATTCTCAGGAGGTTTTGTTTCTGCCAATGATTCTAGCCAGGTGTACGCAATGGCTTCGCCTTTATCTTTTTTTACTTCATTATATTTAATTTCTTCAATTAATCTTGATATAAATTTTGCAGATTCTATACTATCCTTTTCATATGCTATGCTGTCTTTATAATAATTGTTTTGGGCCTCAACGAACTTAGCCAGTTGTGGTGACAATTGGAAGTCAGATGATTCGGTTTTTAATTTCATTACTGTGGAAGTTCTTATGTACACCAACATGTATGCATTATTTGTTTTGTACTCGTTTGTATAAATGTTGATGGATTCAATTGATGCTAATTCCTTAAATATGCATTCTTCGTACAAATTTGAATCGTTAGTATTCAACATTTTCACTCTTTCATCGTCCATTTCATACCATTGTTCCGTTTTCAAATCTTTTATATGTGTAATGAAATGACCAAAATTTCCATATTTGCCTTTGTGGATTAATACTCCATATAAACTATACACATGCTCCTCTTTTGATGATTCATACGATACATCAAAATACTTTCCCATGTCTACAGTGTATGGGCATCTAATTACAGTATTTAATTTTTTTGTTATCTTCAGATTGTGATCAAACACATAACGCATGACTTTAAGATGTAATAAATTTGGTAATGAAGTTAATAGAGTTTGACAAACAGCGTTTTGCTTACTTTGACATTTCTCACAATCATATTTTCCTGTCAAATTTTGTTTTTTAAAATACGCTTGTAAACAGTCAGTTACGGTGTTATAGCATTTAATGTTTAAACCAATTTCCCTAAATTGTGATGTCGTTACTGATTCAGTTTTACAGTTTAAACATGTAGTTACACTGTTAGATTCACCAAAAAAATTGTCTTTTATCATTTCTCTAACAGACACACTTGATTGTGAATTTAAATTTGTCTCGAAAAATGTTATTAAACTATTTTGAAATTCTTCCGAATCCTCTTGAATATTAACGTTAATATTTAACGATTTTACGAAGGGTTGAGGATTTATTGTTCTTTGTTTTCCAAACTGCATTTGGGCAAATATTAATTGAAGTTGATGAATTACAGCCATCGGCTCATTTGAGATTTCAAAATTAGAATTTGGACTTTCACCATCATTCCAATTTAATATTGTATTTCTAATATTTATATTATGATACCACAGTTGAATAAAACTGTTGATATAACAAGTTGCTCCTAAATTTTTCAATCCGACATAAGTACCTGTTTTTCGAAGCTTGTACTCTTGTTCCTCATTCACATGCAATGCTTTAATGTTATAACAACAATGTGGATTGCCACAATTAGTTTGATTTTTATGGTCAGCTGTCAGTTCACACTTAGGAAAACCTATCTTATACTTTTTTAAAACATAGGCTTTTTGTATGTCTGTCTCTCTAGGAAGAATGTTGTTTGTAGATTCCATATTTGTCATGAGCTTAATCTTTTTATCAATTTTATACAAAAAGTTTGATTTAATAAATCATCTGTTTTGAAATTGATAGTGCTCGTTTCTTGTTTAGCACTTCATAGTGTCTTGCTGAAACAATAAAAAAAAACAATGAATATAGAAAATTTTGAAAATTTTGAATATTAAATATATAAATGCAGAAATAGTAAAGATATTTTTATCAATACTAGTTTATTTTTTTTTAATAATACCAATATTTATTAAAACTAATTAAAGCAGTTTAACATAAAATCAATATCAAAATTGTATGAATAAAAATTGATATTTGGTCACTTATAATCAGCTGTTTCTCGTTGAAATAATCAAACTATTGTTACTATAATTTATAGATTTAAGTTTGTATTATTTAACTATTTAGCTACAAAAATACTGAGAATAATACTTCTTTAAACATAAATTTTGAATGTCAATTCATATTTTTAAACCTGATATCAATATTAAGTGCTTACAATGTTTAAAAATCATGTCTCAAACGAACCCAACAATTAACAAGTATAATTATTTACCTTCCTTATGATTCTAAAATGTGAAAAAGACATTGTAGATGAAATAATTATTGAATGTATTCTAAACTAGGTAGAACGCCCAGCACTATCTGTGCCAAAGATAAG